CAAGACAGGCTTCTAATTAAGTCGTGGGGTTTACTCATCCTTTTCTTCTAATGGGTGCCGAATTGTACACCTATAGTTTCATGCTTGAGACCGCACTACGAAACATTCGATGTATGGAATGTGCTTATGAGGGATGAGGTAAGATCCTGTCATCTATTGATATATACGGGGGGGGGGCAAAAAAAGTCACTTTTCTTCCTTGACCTTCGAGGCGTTATAAGTTACACTTTATTAAATTCTGATCGGACAATCTACCACCGCAAACAGTATATTAAATACTATCATGACACTCCGCCACAGCCTTCTGGAGGAGCGCTGTCGAGAGATTCTGCCACGCAACCGTGATTCGGTACCTGGCTTCAGCGATCATAGCTTGTTTTCTCGGCGGCACTGGGGCAGACACCTGTGTTGAGCTCCGCCGAACTCGGCAATTGAGAGAGATATTGGGTGTTTGGGTCGAGGGACTTACTCAAATATTCTCTTCTCCAGGTACTCAATGCCCTTCCATTCCAAGTAGGCGAGAGTTTTTCCAACGCCCTTTGATTCCATGTGGTGGCACCCAAACCTGTAGCAGTACATATTCCAGGTACGTCCGGTCCATACCATCAACCCGCGCCTTGCGACTGTGAAGATGATGTCCTAGACCGTGGCGACGTTGTCGGAGCTGCTCGATGTTGGAGGTCATCCAGATCGAGAGTACTGGTCTCCAGGTAGCTATCCATGGGTGACTCCATACTAGAAGTTTCGCAGCTGTTTGGAGGTGTGAAGGTCTTCTCCAGTCAGGCTGCGACTGGAGATGACTTCATATTTTGGTGTACATGAAGGTGATGGGCGAGAGCCAGCTCCTGCTTATCGAGGAACATCTTGGGTATCTTCCGCCCTGGTACTCGTATCCACGTCCTCTGTCTGGGCTGCGAAAACTTTGCTGATATGTGACTCGGTCGAAGTGACTTTTTTGCCCTCCCCACCTGTAGTCTTACATGGCGGATGCTGGGCCGGGTTTGGCGCGGCGCCAACCGTTCTCCACCAATGTTGAAGAAAGGAAGCGAAAACGGTTGCAGGCGAAAAGCAGTTGAAGAGCGCTGCTGCTATGGGTAGCGCTGGCAGCAAGCGTAGTGGCATCCCATGGGGTCGGCCAGTTCTGCTGATCTCATTCTCCCAGAAAGGAGTTGTAGTCTGCCGACTACAGAGAAATGGGGCGGGTTGGATAGGGCGAGATTCGATTTGAATAGTGGCGCAGACCTGACCAGGGCCCGATCACCAATTAGAAAACAAAAAATATCTTGGCCTTGGAGGAGCAGTGTTCACGGACCTGGATAAGAGAGCTGCTGCGGTACACAGTCGTCGTGCCGGTTTTGGTCGAGAAAAATGAAAAGTGCATCTACATTGTCTACCTTTAGCTCTCCCTTGCTCACGTTGTCTGCGTCTGATGAAGCTGCCTACCCTTCTCTTACCACCAAGTCCGTGACTATCAGGACACGTCCTGCCATCGGGCAAATTTTGGTAAAATGTGACATCCTCTCAAAAAAGCTGCCGTCGAGCAGGGGAGGGAGATGGTGGAAGAAGGTACATAGCGTACTTGAGACGGAAAAAACCGAGAAAAGTGAACAAAAGAATACACACTCCAACTTACTCCACCATATAGACTGCATGTATGGCCATTAAAGCAGCTTCAACAATTGCTGGGGTTTTTTCTGACTTCCTATTCAGCAAGTTATTGAGAACCACGAATTGTATAATCCCTCTTTTAGAAGCTGAATCTAATGAAAAATACACGTGAGCTTTCTCGATGCAAGGAAAGGGCATTGGAGGTGAGCGAACATGCACCAAAATTTCCTTCATTGGATACAGCTTTTACAAACTCTTAAATGAATATTTCTCCTTTTTCAGGTCATGCAGAGTTTTCAACGTTTAGACCTGGTATTAACATTGGAAATACATCCTCAAAAGGAGAAATTGCCTGTAGTACAAGATATTCGCACGCTAGCTGAAGCTATTGAAGCGTACTGAATAAGAGATCGTTGAATTGCGTCATAGACGCTGCTTTCCTGTACTATCTAGTCCTGTACCATATTGTTAAATTTCAGATTGTTTTGTTTTTATGATGAATATCAGATGTATGTTTCTTGGTGAAGGAAAATGAGGGGAAGGAAGGCCCCAATCAATCTATCTTGGAGATATGCCACGCAGTCGTGCCGCAAGGGTTGCCCCGATCGGAGCTTCCGGGCGACGCACGTGGTGAACGGAACCACTTGCTGCCACTTCGCCGTCTTACACTCCTATCCGATGTAACAGTGTAAGGCGGCTGTGGTGTAGCACGCTGGCACTCTCACATCCCTAAACTACCCTATTTTCGGACTATAAGACGCACCCATGTGTAAGGCGCAGCCTAGCTTCAAAAGCCGCGGAGGTTTCATCCTCATTTTCATGTATTTTTTTCTCGTGTCAATATCGTTGATCTATATTCATTGAGCTGCGTTGAAAACAAGACTGGAAGACTAAACTATGCAAAAAATGAGGAAAACTGCCACTGTTTACCAGATTTTTGCGCGCGCTGCCGCACGTTACCCTGCGGGATGCGCCTTATACCTCAGAAAATAGGGTAACGATGGTTCGTCAGTGTTGATCCCCATAAGCATGTGAAAGCAATACGAAGGCATTTTGAGCTCACATTCAGCTATTACCTGTTGAGTTGATTACCTCCCTTATGATAGTTGTCCCGTCCGTGTCTCACTGTCAAATGTATAGTTTGCATCGCAATCGGTCGTAGGCGATGTGAGGAAGGCGAGGGGAGCTCGCCTCTAGCTGCCTAGCTCTACCAGTAATTATCGACTACTGATCAATTCAGGAAAAAAACAACTAGTGGTGGAAGCGCCGCAGGTGGAGTCAGTCCATGCCTCTTGAAACTAATTCGACTGGTTGCGATAATACCAACTGTACCAGTTTCGCGGCTCGACGAGGGGCGTTGCTGCTGTCAAGACCCGAAGAAACGCTACCCTCAGAAGGTGCCTCATCATTTGGGGGGGGGGGCTATATAAGATCAGCAGCCTATATCCACGAACATAGGTGGGAAACGCTGGTTTTGTTGAGTCCACCTGTCTCTCGCTTTCTTTCCCTTAGCGTCTGATCTCTCTCTCTCGCTCCGAGGTCGTCCACTCCTATCACAATCCACCTTATCTAGGAGCATTCCATGGTATCGACCGATTTTCATCACTGGTGAGTCAACTCTCATCAAGGAATTGATAGACGGCCAAAGCCTTTGCCCTATTCCCTTTTTTTGGGTGCTATACCCATCCTATTTTTGTTCAGAGTTGTGGTATAGTAGTATACATATTGAGAGCAATGCTCCCTACACAACGACTTGCGGAAGTTGGCCGATGTGAACGTGGTCTTCTTATCCTCCTAAAAGGATCTGGTTCCTTATTATCGTCACCGTTCAGCAGCAGGCTTAGTTACCTGAGCGGGAGCCACAAGAAGCTAAATTCAGTATTACCGCCACGGTACCGTAACCCAAAGCGGCGCCCAGTTGATTGTAACTCCGCAGTGGACGTACGTATAACACCGAACTTTACGCCGGTACCACAACGGGAACTGTGCGGAAATGCTTGCATATACTGAAGTGTTCGAAGATGGACGGGAATTTCGTGCTTATTTCACTTATGAATTCTTTCGTCTCGACATAGAGGTTCCGAATGTTTGGCATGTGCGCAACGTAAGAGAATCCGTAACGCTCACAACACTTCTTTCTAGCTACTTTGCAGTTGGAGAATATTTACATGAATATAATGAGCCGGATTAACAAACTCCAGACCAGAAAAATTCTTTCACAAGTGCTTTCCCAACTTATTTCAAGAAATTTCACTGCAACGCGCAGGGGACTGTGCAAAGGGCGAAAGAACGCGCAACTATCACAAATTAAACGTATGTAGGATAGTCCAACAAAGGAATGTCACTCAATGATCTTGAAAATCATTGACGTGACATTTTATGTGACGTATTAATTTTTTTGGCGCCAGGTTTCGTACCTCAGTTCTGGGTGGCGGACTATAGTTCGGACTCAGTTCGCTACAGACTGGTTGTTAGATTGGAGAGGTAATCCTGGGTCACGAGTATAAACACAACTTGGTTATTAGTGCTGACAAGAAACTTCAGGGTCAGGATCGGGACTGGCAGTACCAAATATACTCTTGTAGACAACTTTTCTGATGGCAAGTTTTTTTTTAACATGATTTATCGTCATATCTTGGCGGTGTTACAGAGGAACTGTGCCCAAGCAGTTCCCCTCTCAACGTTGGCTCCCTAATTCCACAGGTAATGTTTGTTCTACTTCAGAAGATGAATGATTGCACAATTTTGTAATTTAGGTTTGGGAGAATAAAAAATGTATTCGCGCAGATTGAAATTGTTTAATTGGTTGAACGCTGACACCAATGCAATTACCACCTATTCCACCTTTCGAGGCGATGAGGCTAATAAGTCGACCGTAGTACCTCCTCAATTTATTGTATACTACAGCGAACTTGGAAAGCCGTCTCTATCCTCCATTGTTTAGCATCAAGCGTGCAGCACCGTCAAAGTGCTTGACGCAATGGTAATAGAAAGATAGATCAGGCCTATCTCCACATCGAAATCCTCACAACAATATCCGAAACACACATCCGTTCTCTCCCACCCGGAAAAAGAAAATCACAGGCGTAGTTTCAGCGTCCGTGCTGATGTTTTCAACGCGCCTACGACAGAATTATAATTTAAAGGGCGCCGCTTTGGGTTACGGTACCGTGGCGGTAATACTGAAATTAGCTTCTTGTGCGGGAGCCATTCCTAAATTCGACCCCCAGGTAAAGAGCGTGGTAAGCAGACCACTAACCACTATATCACCTCCACTGCAGGAATCAATATTTGAAACAAAGCCAAAACTTGCAAAGCCTCTTCAGATATTTAACCATTCATATAAGTAGCCATCACAACCATTTTGATAAATATTCTGTTACGTATACAAATCACAAATTGTCATTAATAGACAGTATGAGTTTCCCCCGTGATCCCCTGGCAGCCATGACATCCTTGTGAGCTGTAGAGATGTCCTCCAATGGATAGACATGTTCAATGACCGGTCGATAGCGAGTAGAACTCAGAAGTTTGTAAATGTGCGACGATGATTCTTTCCAATCAGACGATGTGGAGCTCGCTAACGATAACCCTGAAAATCGCTCGTATCTGAGTTCACTAGATGACTTCTTCTAAGAATGAAGAGGCTGAAGTCCATAATTAGTATCCTGTACCGAATACAGAAGTCTCTCTGCCCATGAGTGCCCTCGGATCAATTTTGGTTTCACCGCGGCTTCCCACAACTGCAACTTTTCCATTACGAGCGAGCATATCCAAATCGTGCTTCAAGTTGAGATGGGCAGCCATTTCGACAATCAAGTCGAAACCTAAAAAGCTGAGTCAGGCACTTTGAACGTATAAAGAAACTCGTTTAAAGTAAAGTGGAATAGCTGTGTATGTCAATCAACTAGAAAATATTTCGACAGTTTCTGCGCTCTGCCGTGATGCGGATCTCCGGCAAGATCCTCATCCGACATTTCTATCGTAGTAATAAACAAGAAACATCTAAAAAATGCTCAGTTGTGGTCAAATTTTCGACTCCGTATGGGACTCGAGCCCCACCTCATCTTTTCAGGGCGAGTATGCTATACATCAAGAGTGAACCATGAGATGCGAGTTCGAATCCCAACAGGAGTCAACATTTTTGCCCATAACTCAGCATTCTTGTGATGACTTCGCAGCGCGAACTGTGGCATTAAACAGCAGTTGCCACAACAGAACACACAAATCACGAAACGATTGTATTCCAAAGTAGCCCCCCGGCGCAGTTTGTCGACGGGGGGGGGGGGGGGCATTTTGCTTTCCATAGATGTGTCGACCCATCTAGGCAGCCGTTTCTCGAGTTGACACGTTTTAGGATAGTGGCTAGACGATCTTACTTCAGCTTCACAAGAGTTCACAAGTTTTACCAGAGTGAGATTTGTAAACCGGAACTAGGGAAGCGATGATAATAAATACAAAATGCCCCCACAGGATAGGGCGTGTGACCGGGGCGTGGCTAGGAAAGCCATTCTCAAAACCCTAAATTATTCTGGCATGCAGCTTTATTCGCCCGCTCCCACGAACTCATCATTGGGAAAAAGACCGCCTATCAGATTCTGCAATCACCCAAAAATCTGGTTCTTTCTTACAAGGAATTGTTTGAACTCCCATGGAACTTTGAATGTGAGACTCATAGCAAGCCTCATAGAGTTCAGATATGCTGACCTTACGCAGTATTTGCAGATTAAAAAAGGTCTTACGGGACCGCAGATCCATTACGAGCTTCTGGGCGCATCGCTAACAGTTGCGAAATCCCACGCAGCGCGTTTTGTCATCAAAAAAGCCTGCTGAATGCGCTCATCTGGACAGTGGTCACCACGTGGCCCTATATGGTATGTCCTCGCTTCAAAGTCGTTACATATCGTGGTCTTTAGCATCCCGTTCTGGCCCGTGAAAACTTTTGTTAGTCCTAAAAAAAGAGCTTTCACTTCTAATCTTCGGACAACTTGCACTCCAAGTACGGCTTCAGCAGAGCAAGTAGATCACAAAGCTAGATCAAGTTTGACATAATCGATCAGGTAGCATTCTGATCGCTATCTGTCCTCTCTGGAGAGCTCCACTACCCATCCGACACGCATTCGCATTTTGGCACAGGTCCAACATTAGGCGCCCCCCAAAACTCGTTTCCTCCTGGAGGTATTTTGCCCCCTGAAAACGATTATCATTTCATTGAACGAATATCATTTACTTTTTGGCAAGAAGACGCTTGTAGCCTTTCACTTTGCTGTGATCACCAACTGAACATCAACTGACCGGTCCGTTTTTCAGCTTGCCCAACAATAAATAATGCTTTTCAGGACTCTAAAATACACCAGACGAGTTTTCGGCCAAATTGTGATTCTGGCGAAAACCTCGATTTGTCGAATGGGTAATGAGTTCAGAGAGGACAGATAGCTATCAAATCCATACTTGATCGAATACGTCAATACTTGATCTACTTGATCTACTTGCTCTGCTGAGCCGTAAACTCGGAGCTATTTCGATAGAGTGAAAGCTTTTTTAGGAGACGAAGCAAAAGCTTTCACGCCAACGGGATGCAAACCCACGACATTACGGCTTTGAAGCTATATCTCACTAGAACTGGACCACGTGAACAAGTGTCCCAATAACGATCAGCACGCTATCGAAGCCAAAAACCGGGATTTCGCAAACTTAGACCGCCCAGAACTCGTCTGGGAGGTCCCGTAGCACTTTTAATCTGCATATTCGTAATCAGCATTCGAGGCTCTATCGATGTACCTAGGTCTCCATTCAAAGTTCCATGGGAAGTTCAAACCATTCCCTTGTTAGTGTCAGCAGTTTCCGCGTTACAATCGTTTAGTTCCCTTTGCGAATATCGTGCACAAATGAGCCATTAGCAAACATCGCTAATAAACGTCAGAATAAAACAATAAGAAATGCAAAAGACGCACAATCACGAAACAATCGGAAATTCACCGTCTACAAACTTGGCAAAACGTTACGAACTTCATTTCGAGGCCATTTCTTCTAAATTTTTGCATGTTGAACGATATTCTTGGTCAGTGCAGGAAGCTGCTAACAAGTGCTGCTAACAACCAGGAATGAGTAATTTGGCTAAGGCCTGCGGGGAGGGGGTTAAACCGTTACCTGGCTTTTCCTTATTTCAACACTAAAACCGCCACGAGCACTTACTGGATACTTACTCCATCGCGGTCGCGTGAACACATACTCCCCTGTACTTATATTGAACACACCGGAGTCGCGCTGCGCACCAATTAACGTCTTGACCAGACTCCAGCCCTCCGCTTATACCGGCTGTACCTTGCACAACAAGCACCTCCGATATTGCAGCCATCTGCACCCGCTGCGAATCCCAACTTAACTCCAAAGGCGCCATGCACTAGTACTTCGCTCCCTTTCCTTCTGAAGTATATGGCAGAGCAGAAACGCACTGCATCTTCGCTATGCTTTCCGGGAGCGACTGCTTCTGAGCATAGTACAGGTCTTGTTTCCACAGCGATGATGTAGGGTATCAAGGCGATGGACTGGTCACGAACGCAACGCCAAAGGCGAACTGTCTCGCTACCCTCGCCACCTCGCACAACTATGAGAACGGCTGGCACTATCCAAACAACCCTCAATGACACGCCCCAATAATCCCGCAGCGACATAACACTATCTAGTCATTGCTCGACACGCAAGCTCCCTGATATGTGTACTGCAGCCCCTGAACCTTCCATTACAGAAAAAGAGGCCATCTGGTAGCTGTGACTATAAGTGATTCCAATGCATGCAACTCTTGAAGGAAATACCTAAAGATTAAACTCAATAATTTTCGAAAAAAACAGTAAATCAGTAGCAGATTTATATCTTCCATTGCCACATAAGAGTAGGTTTTCCCGATTGCATGATACCAGATGGCAAAGGTAATACCCTATCCTACAAGCAATACTGGTCGCCTCGCACTGCCCGTATAGACCAAGCGCTAAGTACGAACACGTGTCCACCTTCTTTGACTTGCGAACATGTCAGCATCCGACCTGAGTAAAATATTTTCAAAAGATCTCGTCTTACTAAAAAAAATATTCACTGTTCATACTTGGGTTGGCATTTATGAATCCCATCCAAACCTGTAGATTAGTAAGAGCCACATCTACGAATAAACACACGTCCACGAACTCCATTTGGTCCTCGATCGCGGCGGCGATGCAAGCGAGACTGATTCGCGAATTAGTGAACGCCAAAGAAAGAATCGTCCAGATCACAGGTTTTGGCTCCATATAACGACACATAGTTGCAAACCCATTCAACAGAACCGATACCTGAACATCTCTCCACGAAAAAGCAGTTTAGGTTTGACAACACATACTGCCCACAATAAAAAGTGGTTCGAATATAGGTATCAAAAAAACGCCACAGCGATGACACACACAGATCCCGCAAGACAAAGAACGAGACATCCATGAACAATGAAAGGCGTGAATGGAAAAGGATGAAAATTCTACAGAATATTGAGCTTCCCCAATCCCACACCACCATCTTACTTAAGCAACAATCTAGTTTGAAGGGATGTTGCCTATGCCACATTACAGGGAACTTTCTGTTGCCAAAGAAGAGACATGACTATGCCGGGACAATTGACTATAAATCACGCAACCCAGGCTTCAGTTACTCGGAGAAAGAGAACGGGATAGAAAGTATTGTGTAGATCGATTGCGTTCGCTTTAGGAAGTTGCATAGACTACGAGAACCGAAGCAGAAGAATCAAACCTGATCTAAACTGGCTGCATTCTCCCTATTTCCTACTCTGAGAGCCGCAAAGAAAATAGCACCCGACCCCCACATGACCCTTCTTTAAAACGGCGTCAAAATCGCCCAAAGGTTCATACTCGTTCTGCAAACTCCTGAAGATTCCAAAAAAACTTCAGGCGCACTAAGGACTACAGAAGAGGCTGCTTGAAAAGCACTGAACATAGCCTTACATTCCCGAAAGCCATTTTTCCTAGCGAGGCGGGGTAACATACATGTAAAGAACACAGCGCAATCAGAATACCGAACAACGCTAACTTACAATTAGTTTCAGGACGACAAACCTACGCTAACAAATGACCATAGCCAGGACTGGGAGGCGTCCTTCCCCCCCCCCACCCAACTCGCAGTCCCTATATCCAAATCGAAATCTATGTAACGCCAATCTTTAATCAAGTATCAAAGTAACAATTAAAAAGTTTCTCACTCTGTTCACTAGATCATCACAGGTATGGGTACTTGGAACATCACTGCTTGATCAACACTAGGACCACCAAAACTCTTTACCCCAACAGCACAAGATCTTACTAATTTCAAAAGCAGTTCTTTTAACGTCGCCCAAAGTATAGCTGCAAAACTCGGTTCCCACACTGGCTGGTGCTCTGAAATCAAGCTGATCAAAAATAGAGGAAAATTGATGGTGCATAAATACATGTAACGGCGAATTAACCTTTCGCCAGACACCTAACGCAAAATTATTAAAATCCACCAACTTCTATTAAGATCGTTCCAACGGAGGCGGTTTCTCAACTTCAACCTACCCTCAGGAAAACGGCCTAATTGGTAAGAAAAAACTTATTCCATCATTTTTGGGTAGGGCTCCAGGAAACTGATATAAGATTCACACCATCCTTTATCACACGACATTGGAAACGATTCTCATCATAAACAACAAGTCTTGATACGCAAAACGGCATATAGACAAATGGGCAACTCCGATGCTGACCGGCCCTTACCGATCACCTTATGGCCTAACAACACTCGGTTACCTTTCA